AGTATTTCCAATCTTAACTATTTGGTCAATAATCACGTAATGTGCAGTAAGACATTTTACCTAATGACCAATCAGTAGTTGCTCAATAAATAATAGGTAGAATCAATGACCAACAATAACATGAATAACCAATGCATGTTATGAATCAATAACCGGGTAAGTCAGTAACAGTTCATGTAAGCAACACCGGCTGGCTTAGCAACCGGGTTTTAGATATCAGGACTTTTCAGATCCATCAGCCAAGATCCTGGCTCATCACTAAACACTTACTGGTTGCATCTCTGTGAACACTGAAGAGAGGCTATTCCAAATATCCTCCAGGCCAATCCTGACCTGTTTCCAAAAAGCCAGGGCTGGGCAGGGGCTGGTGGGTGGCAGGCTGGGACTGCTTCTGAGATGGATGGTGGGCGGGGAGGTAACGGTGGTCCTGGTAGTGCTCTGAGAGGCACAGTTGGTGTCAGTACAGAGACTTGTGTCCAGGGGGCACTCTTCCCGAAGTCGGTTGCAGGGACATTGCTGGTAGGTGCAGGGCTTGTGCTCCGTGCGGAGTTGGCTCAGAGCCCCAACTCGAAGGCGCCCGGAAAGGCCATGCAGCTTCCCAGACCGGGTCCGGCTCATGGTGCCCGACTTGCAGTGGCAGTGCCACGGGCCCCAGGGCATGAGCACCAACTGCAGATCCTCAGGAGGGGGCATGGCTGTGGCTGTGGGCGAGGGTGACGGCCACAGGCTCGGGGTGGACCCGGCTGTGGACCACTGGCTCAGGGTGGGCTCCGAGCCTGGCAGGTCCCCAGTAGACCTCCAGGTGGAGCGCGGCAGGCTCGTGGTCAGCCTGATTTCGGGCTCCTGACTATTGGCTACGAATATCGTGCTGGAACTCCCCGCTGTACTGGGAGTCGTACCGGGAAGCGCTCTGCTGGTGTTATCCTTTCCGGCACTAATCACAACCCCCTCTTCCAAAGACCCATCCTCCTCGTTGTTGGAGGACAACCGGTTAAAGCCTGTGAACACTGTGGAGGCCAAGAGCTCGGCAGCCGCTGGGCCAGCCAGGCGGTCGGCGTTGGCCATGGCATCGTTTTCGTCCTCTAGGATTATCCTTGTCTTTCGGGGGAGACCGGTCCGGGCGGTGCTCCGGTAGCGGCGGGTCATGGGGCCCCCCAGGCGTAAGCTCACGGGCTGCCTTGTGGTCGGAGTCTGGGTCAGGCCTTGGGCCCCCGCCGCCAGGAGACCCAGACTCAGCAGCAGGGCCCAGAGCAGCGCGCCGGCGGCGGGGAGCATGGGCTGGGCTCTTGGGGTTGGGAGGGAGGCCAGTGAGGCAAGTCCTGCCTGCTACCTTCGCTCCCTCCCTTCCGCTCTCGACCCACCGGGTCGTTTGAACCGAAGCCCGCGGGGAAGGGGACGGGGTTCGACGCGCAGAGGCGCGCGCCACGCAGGATTGCTCCTGCAGCCGCAGGGACTAAATTAAAAATCCTAAGGAACCTCTGTGGCAAGAACTCAGTGTCAGAACCGAAAGAAGGATTGTGATGCAAGGGGTGGTGAGAGTCGTTCACGTCTTTGGAGCAGAGCTTAAATGTCTCATCGCAGTTTATTAGCCGCTACAGATCTCAATTTACTCAAGAGGGCAAATATACAGGTTTTGAAAGCACTCCTTCCCAGGCTCACAGGCAGCAGACATGACTTAGAAGGAAAAAGGGCATACAGCGGTTCTTCAAGATTTAATGAGCTGGCTCTCCCGGCTCCCAGCAGGCAGGCTGGCTGTCAAGTAAGCCTCTTCCATCCAAGGTGGAAGGATCACAGCCCCTCCAGTTAGAGAGGAAGAAAATGAGGACTCAAAAAGATGAAGGTATTTGCCCAAGGTTCTACAGCGAAAGCAGGATTAAAACCCACAGCTCTGCATATCCCATACAAAATGACCCTACACTCAGCCTTCCACCCCAACAGCTGGAATGAAAGTCACCCAGAAGATCAGTCCCAGTCTCAAAGCCCCCCGAAGGCAGGGGTCATGCAAAGGATGAAATCCCACTGAGAAGTGAAGATCCGGTGGTACTGAGGTTGGGGATAAGATGATTTACAAAACAGCTCAGATGTTTCTGGGATTCAAGTGCAGGCAGATCACCATCTTTGCTTGGTTCTAAGGCCCTTTATCCAGTCCTGTGCTAGGTCCCTCCTGAGCCATGGAGATCCTGGTCCAGCCTAGGAAAGGGACAGGGGGAGGAGAGAAGTGGTTCAGGGGCAGGACTTGGGTTTTACATTCTGGCCTGGGGAGACAAGCCAGGTGAATTGGAAGAGCTAGGTGATTGGGATGAGTCATCATTTAGCACTTTTGCTCCCTAGCACCCTCTCCTCCCCTGGGATATCATCCGTTCACTGCCAACGCATCTCCTCCTAATTTCTAGGGCCAGGCTGAATCTCCTCTGCACTGTGATTATTCCTTGTTGCCTCTGCACTTATATATAGGTTTTTTTCATTTATTCTTGTGGGATGCAGTAGTGTCCTTCATTTCTTCTTTGGGTATGTGCAGTTTTCCCATATATACTGAAGCACCCAAAAGCAGGGCCTCTATCTTTTCATTCTGTTGCATGTCCCCCAAGGCATTAAAAAAGTAGGGTTGGCTTTACACATCCCACCCCCAAAGCTTTATCCTCAAGTGTGAAACTCACTGTCTGACAGCTTCAGGGATGTGGACTTGATCCAGGGATATGAGTTGGGCCAGCTCCTCCAGGCTGTCCAGAAAACGGATTTTTCGTGTGAATTTGGAACTGAAAAGAGAGAATAAACCAACTGTTTCGTATTGGGAGAAGCCTTCCCAAAAATCCTTGCAAAGAAAAATGTGGAAGTAGAGTGTTATTAAGGCTAGAAAGAATCAAGGTGGAGAAAGATCTTCTTAATCTTGATTTTGAAAATGTGGAGAAGGAGAGGGGAGTCCTTGCTCCTAGCTGTTACCTGATAAAGGGCCGAAGCAGTGCCAGAAATGCCTTCACATACCACGTGGCGTGGACAACCACCAGGGCTCGCAGGTTTTTTCGCAGCCTAAAAAAGAACATGAGATCATCCTATTTCTTTTTCCACCTTTATGTGTGAAGATCATGTGGAACTGTTTTCTGTACTGTAATTTCCTTCACTTCTCTAGTTTCTAGATTTATCTGTTACTTGGGTTTAATCCCCATTCCATTAGCTGTAATCTCAGCTCCACCCATCTTACTTAGCCTTCCATGATCCTCATTTTTAAAAAACTCTCCTTTCAGAATCCCTCAGCCTGGTCTTTTTCTGCTCCATTTCCCTCTTGTGCCCTGCCCTCATGTAAGTTCATTTCGCATGCTTCTCCATCGCTCTATGACCAAGACTACTTATAAAACGCTAGGTGGAAGAAGACCAGCAAGGAGGAAAAAAAGAAGGGAGACAAGAAGAGAAAAGTGAGCAAAGGGAGATGGGGGAAACCAAAAGGGGAAAAAAAACCTGAGAAGAAAAAGAAGACACAGGGCCGGGCGCAGTGGCTCAGGCTTATAATCCCAGCACTTTGGGAGGCCAAGGCAGGCCATCACCTGAGCTAAGGAGTTTAAGACTGGACTGAGAAACATGGCAAAACCCTGTCTCTAACAGAAAAAGATAGAAAAATTAGCTAGGCGTGGCGGTGGTGCACACCTGTGGTCCCAGCTACTCGGGAGGCTGAGGTGGGAGGATGACTTGAGCCAGGGAGGCAGAGGCGGCAGTGAGCCAAAATCGCACTACTGCACTGCAGCCTGGGCAACAGAGAAGACACGCAGGTCAGTGACGAAGGCAGAGAAGAAGACAATGGAGGTGTGGAACAGGAAATAAATGGCAAGACTGAGAGAGAAGAGGAAGAGTGCTTTCTGTGTTCTAGGCAATGTGCCACACTAGTTTACTCGATTTTCACAAATACCCAGTGGCAAAAGTATAATCATTGCCATTTTACAGATAAAGAAGCTGAAGTGGCCGGGTGCAGTGGCTCATGCCTGTAATCCCAGCACTTTGGGAGGTGGGCAGATCGCTTAAGATCAGGAGTTTGAGACCAGCATGGGAAAAATGGCAAAACTCCATCTCTACAAAAAATACAAAAGTTAGCCAGGCATGGTGGTCCATGCCTGTAGTCCCAGCTACTTGGGAGGCTTGAGGTGGGAGTATCACTTGAGCCTGGGAGGCAGAGGTGGCAATGAGCCGAGACTGTGCTGCTGCACTCCAGTCTGGATGACAGAGCCAGACCCTGTCTCAAAAAAAACCAACAACACACACACACACACATACACACACACA